ATTTGACACCAGATTTAGATCGGGTTCAGGTCAGGTCATTTTCAGTTCGGATCGATGTCAGTTCAGGTCCGAAGTAGATAAAGAACAAGTTAATTCAAGTTCGAGTGGACTTCAGTCGGATCTCGTTCAGATCGGGTCACATCATTGACAGATAAAATTTCGGTCGGATGTTTACTGGATACGAATTGAGTTCAGGTCGGGTCGTTTCTATTTTTGGATTAATTATTTTGTCATCTTTCGTGATTGTTGAATTGCAAGTTGTGATTGTATATGATTTCGAGTAAATTAAGACAAAAAATATTCATGGATCAATTTTGTAAAAAATATAAATTTAAGGAAAAAATTGAAGAAATTTAAAATTACAAATAAAAATTTAAAATATAAATTAAACAACACACATAGGTAATAGACCAAATCAAAATAAATTTAAAATGTGAGGCTTAAATTAATATAAAAATAATTAAATTAAACACATTTAAAAAGTTATGGGCTAGTTATAAAAATATAAATAACAACTAACAATGGGGCAGATGAAGATGTAAATATAAATTTAAGGACTAAATTGAATACATATAAAAGTGAAAGACTTAAAATTAAAATAAATTAAAAAAACACAAAAGGATTAAATTGAAATAAATGTAAAATGTGAATAAAAATGAAAAATATAGTAAATTGCATTTATTTAAAAATTTGAAAAAATATAATATATATATATATAATATAAGTTTATATATAAATTATATATATAAACTATATTTTTAATATAAACTATATAATTATTATAAGCTATATATATAAATGATATATGTAAAAAATATATATATATATAAATTATAAAAAGTATATAGTTTATAAATTATAATTTATATTAATATAATATACATATATTATTCAAAGTGAGTGGTGGGAGAAAACTTTTTAAAAGAAATATTTTTTTGTGTGAATTTTTTTATTTTATTTGAGAATTTAGAGGGAAATTGAGAAATTTTGCGAATATAGGAAAATTGAGAAATTTTGAGAATATAGGGAAATTGAGAATTTAAATGAAAATTGAGAAATTTAGAGGGAATAGAAAAATTTGGGAAGTTAGAGCTAAGGATATGTCCAACAAGATATTTTGGGTAGGCTCATGCTTCTCCAACAATAATCATTTTTCCACTTGTTTTTTATTTTTGATTTCTTTCATTTTAGTCATGGTTTAATTATAAATATCTTCTTGAATTTTCAATTCGATGCAATTTAATCATGTATACATTCTAATTACTTTTAATTTTCTATATATATATATATATATATGTATGTAAACTATATATGTATAAACTATATAAAATATATAGTTTATAAATTATAATTTATATTAATATTGTATATATATGTATGTATAACTAATATAAGTAATTTATAGATTATATATATATATATATATTATAAAAATACTATGCATAAACTATATAAAGTAATAAAGTATATAATTTATTAAAAACCCTTAATCCTAAACTTTAAACCATACACACTAAACCCTAAATCATAAACCCTAATATAAATGTACTAGCACTAATGCATATATATTTGTAATAAAAGAGTAGGCTTATGTATTGGACCTATGTAAACTAATGTAAATGGACAAATAGTAATGCAAAGAGACTTATTTTTGGGTTTTATTATTACTTATTCATAAAAACAAAATAAATAGGCTATTAATGTGAATTAACCTAACATGCAACTAAAATACTAATTATGCAAATGAAATTAATATGACATGTAATACTATTTATGAACCATATAATATGCAATGTGACATACTAATTATTTAGCACCTAATTAATCATGTTTTATATAATTTACATTTAAATAATTTTATTAATTTTATTAAATAATTTTATATAATATGTATGTATAAACCATGTTTATATATATATAAACCAGCTAGATCAAAATGATGATGTTTTGATGAGTTGTCTATGTCAACAACAGTTAGCCATGTCGGTAGCTATTAGCCATATTATCGTGTCATTAATAATTCAGTGATATAATTGAAAACAAAAATCAAAGTTCAGTGTTATAATTGGTCAAGTTAAAAGTTCAGTAGTATAAAAGATACAACGTCTAAAGTTTGGTGTCATATAATGTAGTTTACCCAAAAATGAAAAACGAATAAAACGTAGACCCCACGCGACGACAACAACTCAAGCATGAAAAATGCACTTATGTGGGAAAAAAGCAAAATTAATTGGGGGAAAAGTAAAACCATTCAAAACGCTCCAATTCTTGTTCATTTCGATGTGGAAATTTCAAATTTCCCAAACCAAATTCGAATCACGAGAGAAACCCGATCAAAAAATAAATCCAAACTCCCAAATTTAAATCCACTTGTAGTAATAAAGTAATAAAGGATTAGGTTTAAATCATAAACCCTAAAACCAATCAAAAAACTAATTATTTAACACTTAATTAATCATGTTTTATATAATTTACATTTAAATAATTTTATTAATTTTATTAAATAATTTTATATAATATGTATGTATAAACCATGTATAGTATATATAAATTATATATATATATATATAACCTATATATATATATATAAATTATATAAAGTAAATTACTTATATAGTTTATAGAAATACTATGCATAAACTATATAAAGTAATAAACTATATAAACCCTAAACCCTACTCATAAATTATAAACCCTAAAATTTAAACCATAAACATTAAACCCTAAACCCTAATATAAATGGACTAGCACTAATGCACACACATATATATATATATATATATATATATATATATATATATATATATATATATATATTTGTAATAAAAGAGTTGATTTATGTATTGAGCCTATGTAAACTAATATATTGGGCCTATGTAAACTAATGTATTGTCAAAATTATTTATATTAATAATGTAAAACGTTAATATATATTACATAATAAATATTTTCATTATTAATATTATTTGTTCTTTTTATAAATTAAACTATATAATTTATATAAATTAAACTATATTAATTTTCCTTTACATTATTAATCATGTTTTATCTATTATACATTTAAATAATTTTATTAATTTTATTAAATAATTTTATATAATAGGTCTATTTATTAATTTAATTATCATAATAAATATTTTATTATAACATTTAAAAAGTAATTATATTAATTTTTTAATTACATCATAAACTAAAAAACTCATAATTTTATTAAAATCTTATAATTTCGTCAACGGTAATATATAAGTCAGGTAAATACCAGATCAGGTTAAAAACAGGTCAAGTTAAAAACATATCAGGTTGAAAACAGGTCAGGTTGAAAACATGTCAGGTTGAAAACAGGTCGGGTAATACCAGTTATTTACCAGGTCAATCTCGGTTTCAGGTTCATATCAGTCGGATACAGGTCGGGTTCGGATTCACAATTTCCAATTCCAACTCGGATTCAGGTAAACACCAGTTCCGACTCGAGTCAGTTTCGGATCGCTACAGCGTAGGTTAAAAACAGTTTTGACTCGAGTCGGTTTCAGTCAGTTTTGCAGGTCGTGTCAACTTTTTACACCCCTAAATTACACACTGTTTTATTGATATGCCTCTGTACCAACTACTAAGTATGCAACCTGACATTGTTAAACATGAACACAACACACACACACATGACGCAAACATTGAACAAATGGACGAATTTGTCAAAAAAAAAAATATATAAATATAAAACATGTTAAAGCCTTTTATGGAACAGAAAAATACATGAATACAGTACGGATACACAACTGAGCATGTCTCTGTGATTGATGACTTGTTTACAGTCCTATGTTACCCATAACTTTAGTGGAAGGTCTTCATGGTATAATAATTGTGGCAGCGAAACTAGAGTCAACAACCCTTGTGTTCGCACATGGATTGGACCTGTTTTTCACTCATTTTGCAGCTACGATTGACTCACTGAAGATTTCAGTTATGCCTTGCTTCTCATTACAATCGTGGGGCTCGTAGCCGCAATCTTTGTTACCTGGATTTTGACTCAGAGGAAAGAACTACAAAACAGGTGGAGATAAAATTCTGCTCGTTTCATTCAATCCTCCCCCCTTTTTTGGATTTACGGATGATTTATGATCTGAATTTTCCTTTAAATTTTTGTAAATCTGAAATAAGAAATTTATGGTCGTCCTTTCATGATTTTAGTATTTTTATTATATATTTACTGGTTTTAATTACTTGTAAGAGCATTCATTATATCTGTAATTAAGACCGACAATTTAAAGGAACAAATTAGTTTGCAATACTGAGACCCGTTTAATTCAATAAGCCAGTTCCAAGTTCCAGAAAATTAAAACCTTTACAATTTAAATAAAAACTATATATATATATATATATATATATATATATATATATATATATATATATATATACATTATATCAAAATAACATTGATATTTCATACGAATAACAAAAGAGAGAACAAAAAAGAGAACCATAAATATAGATATATTGAAGAAAGAAGATATATTGAAGAAAGAAGCATACGAATTTGCAAGTTCACATGTCAGGTCTTGCAGGATTAGTTTTTGGTGATTTAATTTTGGCCATATCAACAAGGTCCCCAAATAGCTTATCCTCTGGGTTTGAAGACTTGGTTGGTGGGGACCTGGTAGGAAGAGTTTCTGGAACCGTTTTCTTTTCTGATGGACTGCCCTTACATTTGCTGATCAACATATTGTTGTTGACCGTGGCCTCCATAAGGTGCCATTAGCAGTCCACCATACGTTTGTTGAGGAGAAGACATCGGTGCCATCATCTGTGGATCCACTGGCATTTGCTGTGGGATCATTCCCATAATAAACCGTTGGGGATGAAAACAACCAGACAGGTTTCCCTGAACGGTCTGCTGTGCTGACAAATGGCTGGTTGCGATAAGTTCAATGTATATACCCACCACTTGTTCACTTCCCATATGTTGAGATCCAAAGGGGTCCACTGGGCTGAAGCTACCTGTGCTTCCCTGGGAGGCGGTGGAAGTGAGCTGATACTCGGGGGCACCTTCTCGACATTCAAAAAGTAAGTCATAAATTCAGTAGTACAATCATATAAAATTGTTAACGAGTAATTTGATAATTTCTAACCCTTGATGGCATAACATAAGCAAAACCATAGTGATATGGCATGAAGACTTGCAAATTTGCAATCAGAATAAATTACATTAAACCACAGCAATAGAATCATGAATCATGTTCAGTAGAAATAATACTGCCAGCTACAACAGAAATCTCATTCCCCTCAGTCCCACCTTCAACCTAGTCTTCATTTTACTGGAACTTCAGTCCAATTCATGTTTTATCTTTCTCTTTTTCCTATCAAATAGTCAGGTCCGAGGTAACTTATTCCTGAGGCAAAAACTTCAAGCCCGCAATAATGATAAATAAAAAAAAAGAAGTGACAACAAAATGCCATTTTTTCACGAGCAGTAGGTATTCGGCATCATAATTGGCATTCAAATACCAATATGTTTACATAAAATCCTCTTCAAGTTCCTGCAAAGACTTGCTTGTTGATGCAATTTGTTTGTTTGACGTCATCTTTTCCGAGACCATGAGACCCTTGTAGCTTAGTATCTCTGATTGTCTGTCCTTTTCAAGCCTTTGCAGTTCCTCACGTCGTTTCTGCCAGAGAAATCAAAGGGATTTTCGTTTTAGCCACAAATAACAATGTGAAAATGGGCATATCAGTGCAGAGGATGAGACTATAATCTGCAGATAGTGTGATCATAGAGTTGAAATCAATGAATTTTACATACACTTCAACATTTAGCACCTGTTGTACAAGTATTAAATAAGCAACGTCAGCAAAACTACAACTTCTTTGGTCTCATTGCAAATATCTCAACTATTAGCAACAAAGAGTAGCTGAACGTGAGTATGAAACATCATTCCATTCTGATCATAGTTTCAACTCATTTAACATATTTTATTTGCCCAGATACGTATTTGGTTTAAGAAACTGGACAAGAAGAAACAATATCCAAGTAATATTATGATGTATATAGAACTATAACACCATAAATATATTTGATCAAATGAAAGTTTATATGTGACATTATGGCTCCTGCTCTTCATCAATCCAATATGCTATAACTGCTTTTACCCTAACCAAAATCCAGTAGGATAACTTTTATTTTTCACGCTACAACCATTTATTCAAGATGCTCATGTTCTATAGCATCCTCACATAAACCATCAGCTTATGTAGTCATTAGCCAAGATCAACCCCATGAAATAAGTTAAAAACATAATAATAATACTAATAAAGTGGCTCACTTTTTCCCTTAACTGTTGCTTTCTCTCTGCTCTTTCTGCGGAATTAACGGCTTCTCTCTCAGCTGATCAAGAACAAATAAAATAATTAAAATTTTATATACATAACTAATTTATAGTAGTTGAGAAACTAAAAATGGCAAAACAAACATTACTGCATACCACTACTACCGCATATAATAAGCAGAATATAGAACAAAAGAAATCACACCAGATTTCTTTCATAAACAATGATAATACTATCTTTAGTCCCACGTTGTAGCAGAAAATAAGACATGGACATTTGCATACCTTTCAAATCAGGTTTCCTTTCCACTTTTGTCTTATTCAACCTGTTAACTATCTCATTTATCCGCTTCTCCACTCTCACAGTCCGGACCTAAATCACACAATAAAATCAGATAAAAAACACTCTATGAGGAAAAATATGAACAAAATGAAATGATAATCAAGAAAATAATAATGCTCACCATCTTGGAATTGTGAAAGCCGACTTGGCCAACATCCATAGAAGGAGTTTTCTTCAAATTTGACCATGGAGTATAAACGACATCAACGTTATTCACTTTGTTGCCTACCCTCGCACAATAATATCAAACATATACATATTATTAGATATATATACATATATAAAAGGATTTGATGAAATTAAAATAAACCTTGGATGGAATTAGCTTTAACAAGCTGAGCACAATCTTCAATCAAACCTTCGCTGATATCATCGACGGTCTGGCCTTTTTGAAGTCTTACATAAACATGAGCAGAAGACATTTTATCCACATGGAACCTGTAACAAAACCAAATTCAATCACTAAATTTCATACATAATTATAAGGGTGTTTTTGGTTCAGGGAATGAAAGATTACCAGTGAGAATAAAAGATTAGCGGGGAATAAGATTACAGAGAATATTGTATTTTGTGTTTGGTTGGTTTAACAAGAATGTAAGATTACCGTGTTTGATTAAAGAAATAAAAGATTATTAGAATGTATATTTAAGTAAATTGTCTTTATTATATATTTGTTTTTTTAACAAGTTGAAAAATATTTATATATTTTTTAAAAAAATTAAATTCATAAAATTTATATAATTTTTTTTATAAATAAAATATAATAAAAAAAATTTAATAAAGGGTAAAATTTTATTTTAACCGAATTTTATATTAAATTTTAATTATAGATTTTTTTTAAATTTAAAATAATTTAAAGATAAATTTGTAATTTAATCTTATTAGAATTTTTATTATTCAATGATAAAATAAAGATATTATTTTAAAAAAAATTAAAAACATTTTAATCCAAAACGTTGATGGTCCAAAACATCAATAATCCAACAATGCAAAGAAAGAAAGAGAAGTAATATATCAAAAAAAAAAATCTACGAATGACAATCCAGGCCAACCCTACGAATGACAATCCAGGCCAACCAAAGGAGGAACGTTGATTTCACTCCTCACGTTAACCAAACACCCCAAGAAAAACTAATCCTAAATTCATATCATAAATGAAGGATTCCCAGGAATTACAGGAAACCCAATCGAATAAGAAATTACCAAATATCTTCGGGTAAGCCGTATTTAATGAGTTCCTCGTTCTCGTACTTGTCGAGACCCATGAAAATGGTGTAATCGCCAACCTCTGGTCGGGCTTTGAAGTAAAACACCATTTTTGTTCTTCAACGTTTCTTCTTTTTCCCTTTCCTCTCCTGGTAGGCTAAGACAGAGACAAAATTAGGGATTTTTCACCTTTAAAAGGTAATTGAAAAAAATTGATAACCTAATATAATAGCTGTTTAACGCTTACCTCTTTCTTTTTGGTGCGAAAGCTTTTACCGCATCAAACTATAATGCTTCGTTAATTAACTGCCTCATACATTCTCAAACTATGATTTTCATTTTAAATTTGTACCTAAACTTTTAAATATTTCAATTTCATCCTTAAAGTATGACTATTATTCTAAATTTGCTCTCAAACCTTTTTAACATTTTATTTTCATCCCCAAACCATATCCTTCATTATAAATTGGTCCTCAATATTTTTCAACATTTCAATTTCATCCCAAATTAAATGTATATAATAGTCACATTTCATGTTAATAAAAATCATTAGGTCAAGTTACTATTAAATGTTTGGAAAAATACTTAGGTTAAACTATGGTTAAAACTAATTATGTATTAATTGTGTATTTAGTATCTATATCCTAATTTGATTTATTTTAGTCTCCATATTTTTCAAATTTTAATTTTTCCCTCACTCAAACTATACAATGACAATATGATTAAATTATAAGAAATAAAACTTACTAAATTGAAGAACATAAATTAAATATACAATAAGTAATAAGAAAATTTGACTTAATAGACTTAAAATCACTATTGTTTGGATTAGGAGGCCAAAATTAAATTATAAACCTGTGAATGACCAAAATATAGTTTTTTCGCTATTTTAACTTATATTTATATAATTTTGAAGGGGTTATACTGCTTTTATTTTATCATTTTTATGGGGGGCGGGGAAAGAAATTCTACCATGCCTTAACTTTAGAACATTAAATTTATAAGGGACTAAAGCTGATATTAATTATTTAGGAGGGCCGTGAACCCTGCCTCCATCCTTGATTTGGAAAGTACAAGGACTAAACTTTGATTAAATTTGAGCATATGATTAAATCTCTGACTTTCGCATAGTATAAGGACTAATATTAGAATTTGACAAAAAAGAAAATAGATTGTAAACAATACAAAGAACCACATTTACTTGCATTTTACAGCAAAAAGCCAAAAAGAATAAAGAGATTCATCAATGTGGAACAATTTCTTTTTCTTTAGAAAGGAAATCATGACTTCAATTATACCAGAAGCTCATAACCTTTTTTCTCTCAGTTAAGGAAAACCACTGTACATGAATGTGTAAGCTGACCATATATGCCGAGCTGCCTTTGACATTGCTTCCGGCAAACAATGGGACACCTTGCTCCAAATTTACAACCCAATGGAATATATTTTGATTTCGTCGCAAGCCTTGAGCAATCCAACGGAGAATCGGCATCTCTCAGCACCATTCGACCTTTTCGAAGAGACAGAGCTGACCCCTTGTGATCATCAGTAACTACAGTTGGTATCTGTATGAGATTGGAATGTGGGACAATTGTAGTTTGCTTGCTGTATAGTTTCTCTAGAATTTCAGTTGGTATCTCTTTTGTTGTCTCGATTTTCTGTTGCTTACTAAGACTGGAACCCAAAATTCTATTTGCCTCTTTTGTCAATCCGGTGGCACACCAAGCTTCGGCGATGAGCGAGATGGTGGATTTCTCAGGCTGAACCTCAAATTCTTGCATTACTTGAAGAAGTTCTTCTGCTTTCCATGGCTGCTTGGCTTCACTATATCCCCAAATTAAGGTCTCAAAGGTCTTCAAATTGGGAGATATTCCATTTTCACACATTTGGTCGAAAGTCTTGATTGCATAATCCATTCTTCCAGCACTGCACCAGCCACTGATAACAGTTGTAAATATTACAACATTTGGGCAAAATCCTGATTCAATCATGATTGTTAGAAGTTCTTCAGCTTTCTCTGGTTCTTGTGCTCGCACGTAACCTTTGGCAAGAATGCTATAGGAATGAATGTCGGGCTTAATACCTGCTTTCACCATGTCATCAAAGATTTCCCTGCATTTACCCATAAATCCAGCTGAACTCCATGCATTCATAATGGTGCAAAAAGTTATAACATCAGGTTTGACCTTGAATTCTTCCATCAAAGAAAGTACCTGCAGATCAAAGCTTAGACTTAATTTTTGTTCTTCAGAAGGAAATACTCAGTAGATGAGGCTCCTATTAGAATATATCAACAGTTGGAGAAAAACATAACCATTGGGATTACTTACCTCATCAACCCCATCTCTATCCATGATATCAGCAAAACCTTTGATCAATGAATTGAACATCACGAGATTAGGATGCACCCTGAGTTCCTTCATCCGATAGGCAAACCTCAAGGCCTCCTTGATCCTACCTTCTTTATAATATCCGCTGATAATGATGCCACAAGTTCTCTCATTAGGCTGCAAACCATTTTTCTGCATCTCTAAAATCACACCTTCAGCCCGATCAGTCTCTTGATTCTGTGAATAAACCGTTGCTATGGTATTGTAGGTAACAGCATCAGGTTGCATTCCAGAGGAAATCATCTTATCAACTGTATTCCAAGCTTCTGTCATGTTCTTCTTTTTGCACCATGCTCGGACAAGAACGTTATAGGTCCGGAGATTGGGTTTGACATTCCCCTCCCGAACCATTAGGTCTACCAGTTTAACAGATTCTTCAGGCTTACCGGTAATCCCGTACCCTTTGATTAACGTGTTATAAGTGCTAGTAGTGGGTTTCAATCCACTTTCCCTCATCTTCCAGAAATTTTCCATGGCTTCTTCTATGTTTCCACATTCAGAGAAAGCATTTATAACAGCATTGAAAAATATCGAGTCCGGTTTCATACCGTTTTCTTCAACTTGAGAGATGATAAAGTGTATGGAACTGAAGTCCTTCTGGCTGGTCAAGGCAGTCAAAAGTGTTGTGTATGTTATCAAAGATGGTTTATGCCCTCCTTCAATCAAACTGTCAAAAATAGACTGAACTTCTTGGGGTTTCCCTCTTTCTATTAGAATGTTCATTAGCTTTGTCCGGGACCGTACCGTCCTGCAACTATCTTTCATCATGCAGACAGAGCAATGATATTGGTTTTGGTGATCCATAAGTGCAGTAACGTGGAAGTGGAACTACCACATGAAAATCTCAGTCCTAGAAAGTTATCAGGAAAAAAAAAAAGCAGTAAACAAATCAATCTCACCAGTGACGAGCAAGAATTAAAGAAGAGATCATATTTCCAATAGAAGTATACTGTAATTCCATCCACATAAACACGCATGGCACTTTCCTATGTGCATAATTCAAGTGCTACAGTCTACAAGGAAAAACAGATTATGGAAATGGAAACACACAGACCAGATAGTTTTGGATAACCATTACACCACATAAAAATGGCATAATCTTTATAACATTTGCTGATGGTAAAATGTTGGTTACGACGATAGTAAGCTATTCATCGGCACAACCAATAATTTTTATGAAGAATGATGGGTCGGAGATGATAAGTTCTAGATGATTAAGAGAGAGTTCAGATCCCCTTAATCTTGCACAAAGGTTTATACACCGACTCTTAGTATTTATGTTAGGCATATGGTTAAAATAGTTATCCGTAGATTAATTTAGTAAATGAATGCCGTCAACTGATATTAGATCTGATCTTAATAGATATCTTGGGTCTATCAATAGTCTTGTCAAAGAGTCATGATTAATCGGAGGATATGAAAATGTTAAGACTTCGGTTTGCCTAAGAATTCCTAAAAAAAAAAATTCAATAGATGAAGGAATTGTTGCTCGCGGAAGAATATATCCGGAGGTACAACATTTGTTCAGAGTATAAAAATATATATAAATATGTGACAGGCTTCGTTACAAAACACGCTTTCTTGAAGAGAAAAAAATAGAAATTGATTTCCTTTGATATTTTCCTTGAAAAAGAATATCCAGTCATGAAAATCTGAGAAACAAGCAAATTCCATTTCTGAAATGTAAATTTTCAATTGATCTGGAACTGGAAACTTGCTTGCATTTCTTGAAAAAGAGTTGACCGAAACAAAACCAAACATGGCCTGTTCAAGAAATCCATCCAAGATTACAACTAAAGATTATACACAACCATTCTCAAAAGAAAAAAGGAGAAAAAAATGATAAACCAATCGAAATTTCACAAACTAGTCCAAAATTCCAATTTGGGAAAATTTCGCATTCTTCGTTTATTATTGATCAAGGTTCAACACAAACTCAGTTCACATATCAAACCAAAAGATCAGCAAACCCATACCTCACAAAATCAAGCAGATATAACCCAAAATTTTTTGGGTTACGGGAACCCAGGAATCGATGTAAAAGAGCTCAATTAATGCGAGAAATGGCAGTGCTGAGCTATGAAAAACGGCTGAGTGAGTGTGTGTGGTAATGTTAGCGAAGCGTACCTGAGGGGATTGGGTACTGACTGATTGGTGGAATTATGGAGGCATTGGACCTTCACGAAATGCGTTAGAATATGTTTATCTACACGCAAGAACATAAATAAAAGACAAATATATGGAGATAAGAAAACCACAAAGTGCGGCTCTGAAATTTCGTTGCTTTCTGTCTATTTTCTCATCAAATACTTTTATCCACTGCCATTTATTTATTTTGGATAAATAATAAAGAAAAGTTTATTGGAATAGTCAAAAACACCTCTTATGTCCTTTTAATATTAAACTTAGACAAATCGGTCCTCTTTGAATGGTAAGATGTCTTTTTACCACTAGAATACAACAATTTACTTGTTTTAGTATAAGAAAATGAAAGCAAAATGGTAGCGTTTTATCCTGGGAGAAAGAGTGGTGCATATTTGATTGAGTTGAATTGAATTAAATTAAAAAGTTCTGAAGTCATATCGATAAGTCATATTTTATTATTCAATATAGAGAGTTAGAAGAAGCCTATATCACCAATTATTAACTTACAAAAAAAATCTTATAAGATAAATTTCAAACATATTAAAAATCACATCAGAATTAGCATATTATAAGTAGGCAAAATCCAACGTCATGCTAACTCAATAGCAAGATGTATTCTCTAGCATAAGATAAGCTTCCACTAGATATTATGCTACTACAAGCTTCTTTTTGGTATACATCATGAGAAGGATAAACAATTATTAGAGGGTGTTTGGTTCAAGGATTGTGGGATTTCCACAATCCCATGGGATGGGAATCCCACATTCTCATGTTTGGTTGGCCTAGAATCTCATTCCTAGTAATGTTTTATTACCAATAGTAGATTTTTTTGGGTATATTACCGGGAATATCATTAGCTCCCTTCCCTTAGGTATTGTAACATTACCGGCGTTTTGGACTAAAATGCCCTTAAATTTTTATTTTTATTTTAAAAACATCATTCTTCTGTCATTGAATAATAAAAATTCTACGAAAGTTAAATTATAAATTTATCCTTAAATTATTTTAGATTTACAAAAAAAAATCTATAATTAAAATTTTATATAAAGTTCAGGGGTTAAAAAAATTTACCCTTTCATTAAACCTTTTTTATATTTTTAATTTTGTAAAAACAAATTATATAAATATTATGAATTTAATTTTTTAAAGAAAATATATAAATATTTTACAATTTGTAATATTATACAAATATATAATAAGGACAATTTGGTCAAATATACATTCCAATAATCTTTATTTTAATTTTGTTTTGTTCACATGTTAAAAAATTAACGGTGATATTATTATACCGCTATAAGAAAATATCACATAAGCATTGAAAAATAAATTAATAAATAAATACTACGTCAACATCATTATTAACTTTTTGACGATGAGAGACCAAAACGTAACATCAGATTAATTCTTTTAATAAAAAATTACAGTTAAATGATCAAACAAAAACTAAATAGTAGAAGTGTGACCAAATAAGTAGTTTACCCTCTCTTTTTTGGCTGAACTAGGTGAAGAATTCTTCGATGGATAAATTGCCTGTTTAAAATCAAATAAAAAAGGAATTATCAGTCCCAAACTTTATCATGCATATGTTTTCTATATGCATACATTCTGTTGGAAACCCCACAGTAATTTCTTAGAAATAAACCGTCTTTGGGTGGAAAAGGAAATGTAATTATAGTTTTATAGCTGTTACTGCCAACTTAACATATCCTATAAAGTTGATATAATTACAAAGAAGAAAAATTTAAGAAAAAAACTATCGAGGTGGGTCTCATTCATTGCTATTCTGAAATCACATCACATTCACATCAAACAAATTTCAGTTTTGAGGTTTCAAAAAACTGAATCCGGGTGGAAATTAAGGGAAAATGTACATTTCGATCACATTCAGACATCTACACCTACCAAAAACGGAGTTCAACAGTTCCTCTACAAAATCAGTTTTCGGTTTAAGTTCAAAAATAAATTTCAAATAAAAAAAAAACATTGAGAACATCCTTACCCATAGACATTAAATGGAGAACAGTTTTAGGGTTCATGGAGTACCAAACTTAGACAAGGCTGATTCGAAAAGGGTTGAGAATGCCTGGGATGTACTCTGATCGTCGGTTTTGATCTTCACCTGTGCTTTAGCCGACGATGTGTTGATTATACATTCGACAAGATAATTAGATGATTCCTCGTACTTCTGCGCAAAGAAAAAAAACTTGAAGTTGGGGGATTGGCCACCTGATGCTATGCAGTGGATGGAATGGCTTTGCATGTGTCGAAGTAAAGCTTGAGGAGCTGTCAGCGCAGCAACGGCTTGAGGGCTTAACGAGAGTTCCTGCACCAATTAAGGACATCTTGAGTTCCGAGAAAATTGTGGATAAATAAACATAGTTTCTGCTCGAATATTTTAGATATTTTCTTTATATTTTATATTGATAATTTGTTCTCGCCTCTCCTAAGATTTTATAAATTCGCCTATTCCTAAACTTTTAGAAGTCCATCTCCGTAATATCCCTGCTTGTGGTCTAGTTTCCAAGGACTAAAACAGGATTTTTTTCCCCTAAAAGATCCAAGGGTCTTTTGATGCTAAAGATGTATTACTTTAATAAATAAATTAATTTCAAAACATTCCGTCATAGCATATTGGTCATTGGCCTGAAACAAAGAAGTCCCGACAGTAAAATACACTACTACAACAGAATTATTCTCGCATATTGTTCTGCCAATTAAAAAGTTCTAATAATGTTGAGAAAGGGCAAGTAAGAGATGAGCATGAGCAATAGTGAAAACAGAAGCAAACCTGTGACAAAGCAACAGGCAATTGGCGCCACTTCTGCTGAAATGTGCTTGGATCTAGAGTAGAATTTGTGTTAAGCTTCAATTGAGGAGGACGAGGTGGCACATCAGGTACTGCTGGCATGCCAAGACCAAGAAGATCATCAATTCCGAAGCTTGCCTGTTCAGAATGGCCTGCTGTGGTGGGATTTGAAATTGCCGATTCTATCTGAGTTTGTGATGCAAAGACAGATGTAGAGCTGTCATAAGGAACATTATACGCAGAACCATTATTACTTGAACCTCTAGTTTCTTCTTTCTCTGCAGTCGTTAAAAGCAGATCCTTGTCATTTTCTTCCACTCTCTGACTAGGAACAACATTATCTGCTGCTTCACCAATAGATAAATTTCCAAGTTCATCTGCAAACTCCAGTGGACCCCTGAGTTCCTTATCTGTAAACATGTAAGATGGCTGCAAATATTTACAAATATCAGTTAACTTCAATTCTATTATGATTTGAGTAATAACCAGAGAACCTGGATTCCTAAAAGAGAGGCAGTATGCATGCAGTACACTAAACTGTTTAATAACAGAATGGAAAGTTTGTGTAAAATCAAGAAAATTACAGGAGAGGCAGTATGCATGCAGTACACTAAACTGTTTAATAACAGAATGGAAAGTTTGTGTAAAATCAAGAAAATTACAGGAGAGGCACAATGCCATGATCACTGCAAAGAAACTAAATTGCAATAGTAATCAATATTATAGCTCTCAAAGGTACACAAAATAAAGTTGTTGCAAATTGTTTGGTAACAGAAAAAACTATAAGTAGCAAGCCATTCCAAGGGGGTCGTTGGTGGGTCTTCCAGGGGTTGTTAGATACAATAATGATGCGGGATAAGGAATTGACAAAGAGAAGAATGACTTAAGAGATGCAAGTACTTTGTTAGGTAAGGCCTTGCCTAGCTTAAAAATGCACCTGTTAGAATAGGAAATAATGACCTAGGTGTGGAATTCCAGGCTACATCAGATTCCTTGTATGGCTGTAAATTCCTGTGGTTATGTTTTTTTCTTTATTTAGGTGACATATGTATCTATATGTACAATGTAATCCATGAACGAAGTTGTAGTACAACCTATACTTTCTATTTGCTTTTTCATGGTGTCAAAGCATCCTAAAAACCCTAGCCTCCTCAAAGAAAATCTAGCACTACAATTCCATCATGCTTGAAAATCAATCTGATGTCTCAATACTTCAAATCACCTACCTCATCCAATCAACAAAAATTCTTAGCCACATCTTTTTTTTGATAGGAATAATAGGCCTCATTAAAAACCTCCCTCTTAGTTAGCTCTTGGAAAGAGTAACTATCGGAAGGAGGAAAAGAGTGCCTTAGTTTATTGAATAGAGAAACTATTACAATAAATTATACCAATACAATTAGGGCATCAAAATAAAACTATAATCTTAAAACACCCTATAAAAATACCCTTACAATCAACCAATCCCATCCTTAGCTAATTTATCTGCTTCCCAATTACATCCCCTAGGAATCCATCGAATAATAATCGCCTTCTCATGAACTAAGGACACAATATCCTCAACAAGTGAACTGAAGAAACTAGGAACAGAATTAGGCAGCACAATCCAGTCTACAGCAGATTTACAGTCACTTTCTAGGATTAATCTTCCCTTTGCCGCCCAATCTGATGATAGGAAAATGTCTAAGCCTTTCTTAATAGCTTTTAGTTCAGCCAACGGAGGAGGGCCTGGACCAACACTAACAAAGAAGGTCGATAGGATAATGCTATTACAATCTCTCAAAATACCTCCAATTCCTCCCTTCATCCCAGCAGACTTGACAGCCCCATCAACATTAAATTTGTAAAAATCTATAGGGGGAGGCTGCCAACTTTGTTTCGAACTCCTATGAGTATTCTGGTAACCAAACCTGTCTGCTAGAGAGGGGTCCCCTACCAACAAATCAACTTGAATTTGGATATTAGGAAACTTTGCTAGAAACCATCTAGCCAACCTAAATCTTATTAGGAAAAAGAGAGAGGTTATATCAAGGCTAGAATTTTCAAACACTACCGAATTCCTTGCTTTCCAAATAGACCAAAGAACTACTCCAGGAATGAATTTCCAAATGTTCGATTTTCTGTTTAGATCAGACCATGAACTTAGCAAAACTTGTGGATCATTAGGCAAAGCTGTATAGATGTCCCAAATATTCAACATTCTGTTCCAAATATCCCCTGCAACTGAGCATGAGAAAAAAAGATGCTGGACTGTTTCTTCATTATTTTTACATAGTGGACATAGTGCGTCTTCCATAGGAACCCCCCTTTTCTTCAGCTCAATTCTGACTGCCAATTTCTTGTGTGTGATTTGCCAAAGGAATGTTTCTACTCTAGGGGGAGCGAAACCTGACCAAACCCATCTTTTCCAAGAAAAACCACCTCCTTGACTATTTGATAGAGCCATCCTGTAGGATTTCACCGAGAACAGACCATCCCCCTTCCCAGACCAAGAAAGAAAATCCTTCATTGAGTCAGATAAATTAAAACAATTTAATGCTGCCATTAGTTCAATCCATTGATCCAATTCCCAATCACATAAGCTTCTTCTTGTTTGAACATTCCACACCCATCCATTTGCATCAAAGCAACCAAAATCAGCCACCTTACCCCTTTTATTGTTTGATAATGCAAATATCCTGGGAAATTGAATCTTCAAGGGTAGGTTATTGACCCAAAAATCATTCCAAAATGAAATCGATTTGCCACTTCCCAATTGAGTCTTAGTATTCGACCTCAAACATCCTCCAATATCATCATCCTTCATATAATTATTCACAATTCCTTTCCAAATCCAGGAATCTTGAGTCGAAACAACGTTGCTAATTGACAGAGATAAAGTACTTGCATTGTGTTTGCTGCATATCATCCTTTTCCAAAGTGAATCTTTCTCATTTGCAAATTTCCACACCCATTTACCCAACAAAGCCCTATTTATGATATTCAAATTCAAAATTCCCAAGCCACCGTCTTCCAAAGGTTTACAAACTGCCTGCCAACTAACCCAGTGATTTCGATTTTTACTTGAGCTTTCCCCCCACAGAAAGTTAGACATCAAAGTATTAACTTTCTGCTTTACTTTGAGCAGCATTTTGAAAATGGATAAGAAAAAAATCGGTAACGATGATAATACCGATTTTATAAGCACTAATCTGCCCGCCATTGACAGTGTAGAAGCCTTCCAACCAGCTAACTTGTTGTTAAAATTCTGTAAAATCGGCTCCCAAAGTACTTCAGAGTTTTTCTTTGCACCTATAGGTAAGCCAAGATAATCCATAGGAAAACAGCCCACTGAGCATCCGATATCATTCACCCATTCATTTAAGGTAGCATCTTCAACATTTATACCAAGCAATTTACTCTTAGATAGGTTTAAATGTAACCCTGTCATTAAACTGAAAATCCTTAGCACTCTTTTGATGTTCTAAATGCTAGTAAGAGAGTCATGACTAAACAGAATCAAGTCATCGGCGAACTGTAGGTGAGTCAAAAGGAAAGGATTAGCTGATCTACCAATATCAAACCCCTGGAAAAGTCCCAAATCAGAAGCTTTAATCACTATTAGATGTAGGAGTTCACCAATTAGATTAAACAGCAGAGGGGAAAGACTGCAACCTTGTCTTAACCCTTTTGTCATTGGGAACTCCTCAGTAGGAGAACCATTTACTAGAACCGAAATTGAGGCAGAAGATAGACAATATTCAATCCAAGAAACCCATTTCTCCCCAAACCCCATAGCTTTCATTACTTTAAGAAGAATCGGCCATTCAACCGTATCATAGGCTCTTCGAAAATCAATTTTAAAGACTACCCCCTTCCTACCTTGCTTCCTCCAATAATCTATACCTTCATTAGCTAAGAATGCACAGTCAAGGAGTTGCCTACCCGGAATAAATGCGAATTGATAAGGACTAACCAAATCTGTTATACAAGAAACCAATCTTTTGGATAGAACTTTAGAAATGATTTTTTATAAACTGCCAACAAGGCTAATTGGCCTGTAATCTTCTAAGCTTTCTGGATTCAGTTTCTTAGGGATTAAGGAAATGAATGCATGATTAACCCCATGGTCCCATTTTCTTCCACTGTAGAAATCAAAGACAAACTTCATAATCTGCTCCTTTAACATAGGCCAATACTTCTTGAAAAATCCCATAGTAAAACCATCTGGTCCAGGGGCTTTATCACTAGCTGATGAAGAAATTGCTTCCCAAACTTCCTGTTCTGTAAAAATCTCCTCAAGACGATCCCTTTGCACAACAGATATCTTTGCAAAAATAAGTTCAAATTCTCCCACTTCCAGTGTATTAATCGTGTTATAAGCTTTTTTGAAATAATCCAAGACATGAGCCTTAATCTGAACTGCGTCTGTCAATTCTACACCATCCACCTTCAAAACATTAATGGCATTAAATCTGTTTCTGTTCAAGGCACTTAAATGAAAATACCTCGTATTCTTATCTCCCTCTTTGATCCACCTCACTCTAGATTTCTGGCACCAAATGCTCTCCTCTATTCTATGCAGTCTCCATAATTCACTTCTGAGCAACACTAACTGGTCTCTATCTTGAGGAGAAAAGGCCGCACCTTGTGATTTCAATTCCAACTCACTTATTTTGGAATCAATTTCTGAAATAGTCTCTGAGATCTCCATATATTTACTGCTGGACCAGCTCCTTATTTTCATTTTAGTACCTTTTAATAAATTAAAAATTCCCCTACCTCCCTTCTTTTGCAAATCAGCCAAGGAGTTTTCAACCAAATCATCAAAACCTTCTTCCTTTAATAGATAGTTGAAAATTCTGAAAGGTTTGGGACCCCAGTTTTGCCCATCTTCTTCCAGCACTATAGGGTTATGATCAGAGAGTGATTTGGGTAGAATTCGTTGTACCAATTTAGGGAACCCCTGTAAAAAATTGCTACTAACCAGAAACCTATCCAGTCTTACCCACGTAGGCAACTCTCTATTGTTGCACCAAGTGTACATACCTCCTGATAAAGGGAGATCAATGAGGTTTGTTTGTTGAACAAAGGATCTGAGCAGATCTAGAGCATGCCAATTCTGTGCAACTGCATATTTCTCAGATGGATTAAGATAGGCATTCAAATCACCCCCTATGCATATTGGTAGATTTAAATTTGTAACAAAATTCGACAGCTCCCTAAAGAACTCATCCTTTACTTCCTCCACTGACGGGCCATACACATTAATTAATACACACTCAAACTTATTCAACTTGAACATTCCTGAGATTGCCACAAATCTACTGTTCTTTTCTTCCCTTGTACCTTGAAAAAAAGTTTCATTCCATAAACACATCAGGCCTCCTGCTGACCCATCAGCCGGATAAAAACTTTTTCCTTGAAGCATCTTACCCCTTAATCTCCTT